TAAAGTCACCATTTTAGGTAAAATTATTATTTGTGTGTAGGAAGTAATTAATCCTTGACGTACAGAAGTGCTGGGTTGTTAAAAACCTTTAACTACATCAATAAAATCATCAATAAAATCCGAAACTCAAAAGAGACATACTACCCAACAGCATTTATTGAGCTCAAAATAACACCTTAATACCAAGGCACTCTTTACAAAACACCAAACAGTCTCCAGTTTAAGAAAACACTCGTATTTGACCTGTTCCTCACCAAACAAAACCATTTGCATTATTCCACTTCAGTCTAAACACCAGTGCCTGCACCAGAAATTCATGTGTCGACTCCTGCTCAGATGCAGAAGACGAGTTTGAGGCATTTGATCTGTAGATATAATTCATTGGGGGCATTCATTTTACATTGAATGTTTCCTTTCAAAAAATAAAAACCAGGTGTACAATTTTAAATAATACAAATAAACACTGCCACGATTGAGAGAATTGAAGAACCATTCATCATAATGCTTTGACTTGCATCTATGCCATTTATAAAACGTCACATCATCAGATGCATTTTTGCAGTAACTTGAAGTTTGTTTATCTTTATTTTCTCTTTACGTCCGTTTGTTTGGCAAAAGTTTTCTTAACTTAAGATTTGAAGGCTTAGAAATTCACCTCAGGAGATAATTAAATAAAATAAATCGACTTCAACCATTTCCATCAGATCACTGCAGGAGTCGAACCCCACCATACAATAACCCGTTCCACCACCATCCCCCAACCATTCTTTCCACCCAGAATAAAATGACATCCAAGGCACTGGACGGTACCAAACACCAGGTTTCTTAAAAAACAAAACAAAAAGGGACAATGCACACCATAGCTGTGTGTTTCAGACTTCCTCTTCTCTTTGGTGCGAAACATGTAGGATTTTTGTGAGTTCAGCTTGAACCTCATGTTACCTCCGCTGAGGAGGTGAGGTTCTTGACTGTGTTTGTTTGTTAGCAGGGTTACACAAAAACCACAGGACGGATTACCACGAAACTCGGTGGAGGGATGACATATGGGTCGGGGAAGAACTCATTCGCTGTTGGTGCAAATCTGGATCAGGGGGCGGATCCAAGACAATGTTTTCTTTCTTTAGTGCGATATGATGTTTTCAAACATTTTTGTCAAACATCTGTCAGAGAATAATACAAAAATCTTGAAACATTTAGGGGAATGATATGTATTGAAATAAAATCGAGTTCTAGTGAATTTAATTGTGGTTTGATAAGGGGACTGTTGGCCTTGGTGGAGGTATGTTCTCTACCGAGCGTCATCCTAGTTTATAATGTTCACGACCTGCTTTGCTTTTTGTGTCAGATTCATGTTCATGTCTCTGCAGAAAATATTCAGTGATGTCTTTACCTACCTAATACTGCACGGCTGGGAAGACTCGGAGTAGTGAAAACATTTCAAACACAAAAGAGGCACTTGGATCACACAGTGGATCTTCATTGCTCTATGAATCTCAGTTCACAGTCTGACCGGGGCTTATTGTTTCAATGCTTTTCCTTCCAGCAGAGAAACACTGGATTTCTCCCAAAGTCCAAACTCTCCAGCAGCAGCACTTCAGTTCTTCTATGTATAAAAATAAATTAAAACTCAATGTCAATGATCTAAAAAAAAACTTGCATTATAACTGCATACAGTATAGTATTCTTATGTACTCAGTATGCCTCATGCATACGGAGTAGCTACTTGTAAAGTGGTGATTAGACAAAGGACCAGAGCTGGTATCTGTCTGAGGGGTTGCACGCGGCGAGAGAAGGATGCTCGTGACGGGCACTCAGACACAGGTTCAGTCCTGGGATGAAGAATAACTGGTTCTACGTGAAGAGAGGACAAAGCGCTGTTAGTTTCCTAAACAATGAATCATAATCTTTTGAAACAGTGCAGAGATGCATGAAAAAAACTCACATCCTTCAGTTCCCATTTTTGCTCCACTCCTACAAATGTGTTCCTGCCTTTATACTGGCAGTCCTCCAGCTTCAATGCCCCGCTGGCCCCGTGCAAACACAGCTCCTTCTGAATGTTGTGTCTAATCTCGTGATGTGTGGAGTACTCAAAATACTACGACACAGAAAAAAAGGAATCATCACTGTACTGCGATTAAAGCCATTCCTATGTTTTGCCAATACGTTTTCTAACTGACCTGGTTCCCTCCTAGTCCATGACATTGGTACATGATCAGCTCTTTCCCACCCTCATTGTTCTCCCCAGCATCCAGACATGAGTCTTTGCCCACACTTTTCACCTACAGAGAAAAAGAAGGGGAAGGGGGAAAGCAGTGGGAGGAAACAAAATGAAAAACCAACATCCAGTGCAAGCTGTTCAAACAACTTTAGTCTCTGGAGTGCTTTTCGGTGGTGTCAAATTGGAACTGCTCAGTATACCCTCTGGAGATCCTATGTGGAAACCCACAGTGGCTAGACAGAGCTCTGAGGTTTGGAAAGAGAGAGAGAGGTGGTGTGTGTGAGTTTGAGTGTGTGTGAGTTTGAGTGTGTGTGTGTGTGTGTGTGTGTGTGTGTGTGTGTGTGAGATCTTACAGAGCCAAAGTGAAGTGGGTTGAGATCAGGCATGAAGACCTCCGGATAAACGTTCTTCAAATACCAGGAGAAGCTGTTGCACTGCAGCCGCGCCCGGAGGTCCACACGTTTTGAGATGTCTCCAAATGACTTCTGTTAAAGCAATGGCAGCCAGGAAGATATTGTTGATATAGTTCGTCAACTCCCACTGCAGACACACTGCACACTAACAGAGATATATATATTTTTTAAATACTAATCTGATATAAGTGAAGAAAATGTGGCCAGAAAAACCCACTGAAGAAATTCTGTGTAGCAGTATTCTGAGAAAGCCATGACCACAGTTTTTGAAGTTGAAAATATCCACAGATAAAAAAAATTTACACAAAAATGGAATGGGACAGGAAAACACAAGCAAATCAAATCAAGAACTAATAGTTCATACCTCAGCAAAGTTTCAACATTTTAAATTCACTAGATCCTGATTTTTATTTGGATCTGACTTGCACACTCATAGATATCAGATCAAGCAAATCACCTAGATCAGTTATTCTCTCAGAAATGATACAGAAAGTAAAAAAGAAAAAAAAGTCCTGAATCTTCACCAAAATGTATTGGCTATTTCTCTGACCCATACCACATCATTCCAACAATTTTTACAGTAATACGCCTTGTGGTTTTCTTGGAATTGTGCTAAATAAAGGACAGACATATGCTGATGAAAACATAACCTCCCTGACAGAGGTAATGGTGTCCAGAACAGCTCTGTGAGAAAACCTGAGCAAAGTGGTTGAGCTTAATGCTAATACCAGTATGCTAACATGCCCCAGTTTAATGTTTACCATGCTCACGATCTTAGTTTAGCAAGTTAACATTTAGCACGAAATGAAAAGTATAGCTTAGTCTGGGGGAAACTGGTTGATGATGAAAAACAAAGTACTGGACATATTCATATTGGCATATTCTGACTGGATAATCAAAGTTATAACAATTCATCCTCTGGGGACAATGAATGTCTGCACCAAGATTAATAGCATATCATTACAATAGTTGTTAAGTAATTTCACTCAAGAACAAAAAAATATTCCACGGAGATTTGTATCAAATGTCAGTGAAATACAAACGACCGTTGTTGAGATATTTCAGTTTGGACCAGAATGTCAGACTGAATGAATGACTGCAGTCTCCATCGACAGAGAGAAGCTCTGAACTGTCATCCAATTATAAAAACACTGCAAAAAAAAAAGAAAGAAACCTAAATGCACATTAACTAAAACAAATACTCTACTTCTGGAAAGTCAATGACTGTGTTCCAGTGCTCTAATGACTCCTTTCTTTAACAAATTAACTGGAGACAAGGGTATTCCATCACTTCTCCTTTTAAGCTGAAGCGTAACAGCACTTCTAAGAGGCTTCGCTGGCACCTCTGCGCTCTTGAATAACGAGAGCTCTTAATATAATGACGAGGCTGCCGCTCACACTAGTTTAACGCTGATATCTGCTACAGCAGATTCCTTGAAGCTCTTGATGACAGTGCTGTCTGTTTGAAGCCAGCGGGAGAGGGGCTGGCCCACTTTGTGAGGTGTAGCCCTCAGGGAAGAGGCAGTTTATGGCACCTAAGGGACCATATGTTGAGAAATGCAAAGGGCCTGGTGTCATTTACCAGAGTCGACTTCCTTCCGCCCCCTTTCAGCCACTAATAGCTTGTCTTTCTTGTTTCATCTCCACAGAAAACTTGCATTGAGAACTATTGCAATCCTAAACTGTATGTTAAGCAAGTCGTAATCAGATTTAAAGCTGGAGTTACGTCTCGAGGGAGGAGCACTACTATTAAAGATACAACAGAAGATAAGGATGCAGAGCTATTTGCATCATCATCGTCAGCGGGTTTCACAGAACTTTGAAAGTAGGATGCACACACAGGATTTGACTGGCACAATAGAAGCGGTACATACATCTCTCGCAATCTGTGCAGCTTGCTGGTTACGACGGTAGAAGATCTCCTTGTAGTCGTCCATCCACACCTCCGCCAGACGTACCTGGTTGCGAGCAATCACCTGGGTGCCCTTGGGGAAGGTGTGGGGGCTCTTTGTGCGGAACACGTGACCCACAATGGAGCAAGGGATGATCTCCAGCTGTCCTCCGCACTGCCACACCTGCAAGTTAATGGGCGACAGCACAGAAGTATAATGACGTGCACTTATAATGACGTGCACTTAGAAACGTCTGCAGCCGTGGACACTGGAATGATTCAACAGGCGATAAAGGCTCAGTGATATTTAACAGTACTGAAGTATATTCAGAATGAAAGCTAAAGGCACGGGCTTCACAATTAGGTCTGGACTTTCTCTGGAGTTTGACTTTGCACACATGAACAACACAGCAGGAGATTCTCCACTCAGAAGTGTTGATAACAGCATAGAAAACTCCGGACCCTTCAGGTGGGGCGGCAGACAGAGAGATTCAGATACCAGTGTTCTTACAGAGGGACTGGCAGGAGAAACTCCGCAGAAAGTCCAGAGCCTCTCAGTAGGAAATTTGCGTTGTCACGTTCAGCCCTCCTGGAGATTAATGTCTGAAAGCAGCTTTAGTGATGTCTTACCCTAAATGACATTTCAATATTCTCTCCGCCCCAGATTTCCATTTGTTCATCATAGCTTCCGATATGGTAGAAATATTCTTTGGAGATGGAGAAGAGTCCACCAGCAAATGTGGGAGTCCTATGGAGAAAGTCTCATTTAAGGTTTTTTACTATTTCCAACAAGTTGATATTTTTTATTCATGCACTGTTTTGTTACTAACTTGATAGGGTATGTTTCATCATTCCTCCTCTTCCTCTCATGATCTGGAAGACTCTCCCAGCCAAACGCCAGGCCCCAGTCAAAGTTTCCCCGGTTGTGGTTCTGGCCGTACGGCGACGGTTTCATAAACTCAAAGGTGTTGAGATCGATCGTCGTGATATCGGGACTGACCACTGCAGTGAAGTTATCTGCTATCCTTGCCAGCAGAGGCTCCAGCCAACCGTTAAAGCATTCACCTGTTTAAACACAAAATAAGGACAATAACCATGGGTGTGAATGGGTGTGACTACTATGCAACAGGTTTTTCATGTGTGAGTAACATCAGAGTTGTTGACTAACAGTGGGCGTCCAGGAAGGTGAGGGTGTCACCCGTGGCCACAGCGGCACCCAGCAGCCGAGCGGTGATGAGACCTTTCCTCTCTCGCTGTCGGACAACTTTCACAATGCTCAAGTGCTTCAAATACTCGTCCAGCTCGTCCTTCAAAACATCTGAAAGTACAGGATATATCAATCAAACACAAAGTTGAGTTATGAGGGATATATGTTATATATGTAAAAATGATGATATGAGTGAATGTTGCATATCTTAAACAGCCCCATGAAGGTTATTACCAAAGTGATAAATTCATAATATTCCCACCCCTCAGGCTAAAAAACCAAGACTGCCTTCCTAACGTCTTCGTCAGGAGAACTGTACAGTAGGGAACCCTCTGTGTCCCAACAAATAAGTTTACAGTATCAGATGGACTGTGTTTTCTGAAACCTTTCTCCACTCCACCTCCATCTGACCTGTTTACAGGAGTTAACTCTGACTCATTTCTAAGCGCAGCCACCACTAATTCCTCTTAGGAAAGTATTCACCAGCAGCCCCTCGCTTCCTGCCGTAACCCACTTCATGGGCCACAGAAGGAGCAGGGAGCTCTTCTTTGCACATTTTGTGCCGCACCGAGGAGCTGCCCACCCAGTACGCAGCGTGAAATCAAACCAGCCGAAAAAGAGAGCGAGGGGCGGTCCTGAAAGGCCCCCATTGAGTTTTACCGTCCACGCTTGCGTCGTCCACCAGGATGATCTCCTTGAGGAGAATGGCCGGGGAGGTGTGCAGGACACTGTACACTGTCCTCAACAGAGTGCTCCAGGCCTCATTGTGAAACACGATTATCACACTGGTGGTTGGCAGGGGGGGGCAACGCTTGAAGGTCTGCTCAATACATCTGCAGTGAGAGGAGGGGGGGAAAGAGCACAAAGATGTGACTGTCCGGTGCAGCTCCTGAGCGGCACAATGGTTCTAGTTATTACAACTGCAGACTCTCCCCTGTGGGGTGTCCGTTTCAAATGTGACACTGCATGTGTGGCAGCCTTTGAAAATACCTGCCATATCAGAGCCAGGGAGACTTTGTTACTCATCCCTTATAAGACAGCCAGTACATGGATCGTCTTTATGTCTTTGTCATGTCCTGACTACGCACTGACATGTACTTGGATGTGCCGTAATTAGCCAAACACAAACGTGCTTCTTCCTGAACTGGCCACAGTAACTGGGCAGGCATGCTAAAACAAAGTCCCAGTCAGAACAATCTTCTCTGTGGTTTTTCCACAGTTGCGAAAAAAGCAATTGTGATCATTTGGTTTGGGTTAGACACTCGTTTTTACCTCACCCCGTCTGTAGTACTCTGTGTTTTTCAGTGTGTGACTTTAATTCTGGGCCAATGCATGAGAAGGTGGAGCAGTAATATCAAAACTGGAGTACAACATGTACAGCACCAGAGATGCATTTACACCCACTAGGTGGTGCAATTACATGAGGTACTTTAAAAAAAATCTAAGTCATTGAGAGAATGAATTAAACATTATTTGGTTAACAAAGCTCACTCGTACTTTGATCTTCCAGTTCTATCTTGCACATTTTTACAGAAACTCATTAGAGTGATTTTGCACAGGTTTATCAAAAGCATAAGGAAGATACAGACTGACGTACTCTGGTGGTCGTGTGTCTGCTCCCAGGTCTCTGCTCAAGGAGATGCGGTCACTGGCGTACAGGTTAAAGCAGTGCTTCTCCTCACCCCTCTCCTTCTCCTTCTGCTCCTCAGGGCTCAGCGAGTCTGTGTGGAAAGGTTTCCCAGCAGCTCCAGGGGAGAGGGGGCTCTGAGGGGGCCGCTCCAGGGCCGGCCTGAGCTCGGCAGCAGTGTAGTGACCTGGCAGACAGGACGTGCTGTCTGCTTTGTCCTGCTGACGCACAGGGGCTCTGATCTGCATCTTTGGCATGGCATCCCTGAAGTTATTGACAGCCCCCATCACCATGCCCAGCATGGCGTCCCGCTTCACCACCATCTCCTTCAGCCAGGGCTCCTCTTGTTGGTTCTGGCTCCCCACTTCCCATTGTATGAGGAACACAAATGTGACAAAGACAAGGGCCACTATCACCAGTTTGATTGGGTGCAATCTCCTGCGGAGCACTCTGCGGAGAGCTATCATTCTTCTTCAGTGGAGACCAGGCTGCCTTTGGACCGCAGCTGTAATAAATACATTCACATGATTAATGACACTTAACATGGACATGCAATCATCTCATTGAAGATACTTGGCTGTCAGGTAAATATTACCGGCAGGGCCATGTCACTAAATCAACATGAACACCTTCAACTGTAAGTTCAAACATTAGAAATGTAAACATTTGTTACGGTTTGAAATAAAAAAGCAGCTGCTGGAGAATCTCAAACTAATCTGCTGTTATCTACAAATCAAATATTCAAGATTGTCTCATGAAATCAGCAGACACTCTGATCCGGATTCCTGCAGAGCAAGAGACCACGTACCATGAGGCGCAGGACCAGTACAGATTGTTAAGGTTGGGAAAGACCTTTCAGTTGTTCCCGTGAGACCCGACGCATCGCATCCTGCTCGGACCGGAGATCCTCTTGTTACTTCCTTGTTGAACTCCGAGCGAACTCTCCCGTGGAGCCAGTGACACACGAGAAAAAAGGGATTTGCTGTTTTCCGCCCTCACGAAACTTCCGTCTCGTTGGATCAAGGTGCGCTGCCCTCAGGTAGAAGGAGGGGACGAGCTGGTGCGCCTGCGCAGAGGAGAGCTGTGCGTGTCCAGATCCATACCTGAAGAAAGAGAAGACACGATGACACAGCGACTCAGCTGTTCCTTCTGTCTACTCCCGTCATAACTTTTAGTTTTATACAGATTTAGCTTGAATCACAGCGGAATCAAACACTTGTCCTCCTGGTAGAGTTCTGCGCGGTGACTGCCTCCACGGATCCTGCGCACAGTTCTCCACGGATTCAATAATGGTGTCATTAATGGGATTTGTTCAACTGGTCATTCAGCGGGACAGTTGCTGGGTTACAAATAAACGGAGGAACGCACAGTACCCCACACACAGCCCCACCGCGTCCAATCAGCTTCTCTGAGGAAAAACACCACAGCCGGGAACCACCGACACTTTCAAAAACGCACATGCACGCGTGCGTAAAGTTTCGTTTTTAAGTGCATCTGCCCACGTTGAGCGTTAGAAGTTGAAAAAGAAAGATGACACTCACCAGTGTAACTTTGTCTGTTCGCTTTCGTTTCCCTCTGGTTTCTCTCATGCTTGATGGAGAAACGCAGCGGACTCCAGCCGCAGGGAGCCCGCTCAGGCGCCCTGCCTCTCCGCCTCTGGCTGGCACACTGAGTCCATCTGCAGAGGCGTCCTCTCCACGGCAGGCAGCCACTTAACTATGTCTAGTAAAATGTCCACTGTGTCCTACTTCCCCCCTGTCGTGCTTGTAAATGAAAAGACCCAGAGACGTTAAATATGTGTCTATTCTATTGTGAATGTATTCATAAAACAATAATCAATCAGTAAAAAGAAAAGTCTGACCAAAGAGCCATCATAATTCTAAAACAAACTTTATTCAAAGCAGGAATATCTATATACATGTAAACATACATTCTAATAGTAATCAGGGGTGGGATTAGCAGGGTATACCTCACAATATGCTGTGGCCCATGATAACAATAATATGATAAAGGGCAGGATTTGTGTATTTATTCATTATCCATTTATTCTCTGCAATTTGGTGTCAGTCAGTGAGTTTGACTCGGGCTGAGACGAAACAATGTACAAAAAAGTATTTTCTTAGTCTTTAAATATTAACAAACTTTTCAATGTCCATGTGTGTCATTATTTTTTCAAGGTCCATGACTTATTCTCTGAGAAATCACTGAATCGTTGAAAACACACTGTCAAGCAAAGCAACTCCAGGCTGTACCCACTGATCTGGATCTGCCCCAAAAGTGGTTGAGTTCATTCTTAAAGTGCAATGCTGCAACCCTGAACAAAACTTCATGGATATTAGTTGATATGCATTAGCATAATCCACAGAACCACAAAACTTAATGTGGTTGGTGGATGTATTAACAGATAGGGGAAACATTTCAGTTGTAGATTAAGTTTAAATGTTCTGTATTTGAGATTTTACCGGCCCTTTATTTTAAGTTCCAAAAAATACATTGTGATTTTGAGTTTGGTGTCAGTGTGAGGGAAGAAAATGCTGCATGTGCCTGAACCCCCCCCCTGCACTCTGTGGTTTTCCTTCAGGAATGTCAGCAGCACATTCATATACTCCCAAAGAAATTACATTTGACAGTGCAAACCAAACAATGAAAGTGCACTCCATCAAAGATGAATACATTTTTATTACAGAAACTTTGGTTCCATCTGTCATGTAAGCACAGACTCACACAGACACACACACACACACAGGTCCAACACTACGATCTTAGGGCAGTGCGAGCTTTGTCCAGGATGTCCTTTCTCATCCTCGGATAATTTGGATGAGCGGACAGGACCTGTGGACAAAAGCAAACATGATTCATGGGATAAAAGAAAGTTTGAAGTTCTAAAACTGAAACTGTCCTCAGGTGTCTCACCTTATGACAAACATCTATGGCATCCACATGCCTCTTTGCTTTAAGGTAGTTGAAAGCAAGCTTATATCCTGGAATAAAAAAAAGACAATGTTTTAAAATATATATATATAATTCTCTTAAACCCCTTTGTCGTTACAGACACACCTGGATGTGATTTCAATAGACTCACCAATAGTCGGGTTGGTCCGATTTCCATATTTCCAAGCCAGTTCATAGTTGAGCGCTGCATCACGGAAGGCCTGCTCTTTTTCCATTATGTAGCCCAGATATTCATAAGCTTTACAGCACGACTGTGGAAAGAATTGCAGTTGTTATCACAAAGTATTTAGAATAAAAGCCTCTGTATTATCAAAACAATCTAAATAATGAAGAAAAAGAATTCTGTATGAATATGCCTCAACTCTCTGAAAATGAAATCATAATGAAACACAGAATCTTCAGTTCTGACCTTGTTGTGATTGAGGCATCTCTTCAGCAGGTCCCCGGCCATGTCATACTTCCCTGAATGGATGTAGATGTCCGCCAGGAGCAGCCAGCTCTTCTCGAACTCGTCGGCGTCAACGAGGCTCCAGTTCATCTTAGCGACGCGTTTAAGCTGGTTCCTAGCTCGCGGCGTTTGCTTAAGCATCATATAAGCTGTCGCCAGGGCCAACAGTGCCGGGACGTTGTCTTTCTGGATTTAACCAAAGAATTTCAGTTGAACAGGATTAATCTGACAACAACCCTTCCCTTATTTCAAGTTAAAAAATAAAATGTGATTTTTCTTTTAACAAATATAATTCATGAACTGAACTCATTGGATTCAGACTGACACAGTTCACTGTGGAGTTTATTATCAAATGGAATGACTGACATTAAAAGGGGCCCTGAAATAATGTGCAGCTCCTGGGGTGGGTTTATTTACACAAGTGAGAGGGAGTGGTGTTAATCATATGCACCATCTAGTTTACTTACCTCATTGTTTGCGATCTCTGTGAAAACACCCAAGGCTTTCTCCACATTGGCCTTCTGTTTGGTCGCCAAAGAGCAGTAGTTCTCCAGGATGCGGAGGTGAATGTGTCCGCCCGGCGTCTGAGGCTTTAACTCCTTCAGCAGTTTCTCAGCCGTTCTCACAGCGAGCTGCTCTGACTCCTGCTTCTCTGTTGAGTTCCTGATGAGTAACCACTAGAGGTTAGGACTGTAGGTTTATAAACACACGAGTATAGAGTATATCATTTCACAGATGAGCTCCTGCTGCAGCTGCTGCCTACCCAATTTCACCATCAAGATTCTCAAACACTTCTCCTCCCATGGTGTCATTGTCAGGGTTTAGGTAAATTTCAATCATGTTATACACAGCGTTTTGACCCCAGTCGTTGTCTTTCCGTGCTTTGTTGAAGTGTCGCAGGGCATCATTGGGTTCTCCTGTGTACCTGAGCAACAAGGAAAAGCTTAATCACAAAAAAGACTACACTCAAAACACATGTTGGCGCAGTCAAGAGGAAACACTTCAAAACTTACCACAGATAAAGTCCTTTGCAGTAATTAAACCCAGGGTCAAACTTAGTCCTGGAAGAATCTTTTTCTGCCATATCAAGAAATCTGGGCACTTCTTCCAGCTTCCCGGCCCTCCTCAACAAGTCAATAAGTCGTGACAGAGTTTGGTAGTTGTCTGAAATAACATGCGTTTCCAAAAGGTCAAATTACATTAAGCACCAATTTGTGTTTAAAAAAAGAAAAAAAGGAAAGAGAAACATGTCTTTGTTGCACCTGGTTTGCGCTCCAGGAGCTGTTGAAAGTGGAAAACTGCCTGTTCATAGTCCTGCTTCCTAAACAAAATGTCAGCCATCATCTGAGGACGAACACATGTAAGAAATTAGTTCTATGAATTAGTTCCAAAGAAAAGGTTACACACAATTGTGATGGCAGTCAGACAGAACAAACCAGAGTTGCGTCCTCATTAAACTGGTCATTCTTCAGAATGACGCTGCACTGCTCCTGGCACGCGTCAACCTCATCCAGAGTGAGGCACAACCGAGCCAACTCCATCATCACCTAGGAACAGGGAACGCATTCATTTATCTAAAGTTGATGTGACAAGATTATTTGTGGAATAATATAGGGAAGATAAACAAAGCTTTTTTTCCTACATCAACAACTATGATCACAAAATTTTGGAAATACAAGGGTGCGGCACTAAAAGATGCTTGTGAACCACAGCTGCAGTGAGCACACAGAACGTTTTTGATTCAGCTGCACTGACCTTGCGATCGGTCTCACAATACACAAGAGCTTCTTTGTAGAATTTGACTGCTCTCTCATAGCCCCTGAGACTTGTGTAGTGTTTAGCGATCTCAGCGCAGATCTCCGCTGCAAGCTGTTTCTGTATGGGGACGGCGTCAGGCTGCTCCAACTGCACCCGCTTCAGCACCTTGGCCTGCACATCCCGGGCCTGTGAACAGCAAAAATACAACCTTATTACAGAATTAAATACAGTTCTTATCGTCATCAATTCTATATAAACAAGTAAAAGATGATTGGGATTCAAGAAAGCTGGCATTGTTTTATGTCTGTCTTTTTAGGCAGGCAGGTGAACTGAAACAAAATGTAAAAACATGAGTGAGAAACGAGAACAACTCACTCTTTGCAGAGAAAGTAAAGCTTCCTCATTTTTGTCGACCTTATTTTGGATCTTTGCCAACAGGACCAGATAACGACAATCATCTGAGAGAACTGTTAGTTCATTCCCTGTGAAGTTCCAAAGACAAAAATTTGGTTAGAAACACAACAAGACAATAAAAGTTTTTATGCAGTTGTAATGTCCCTAAAATAAATACAACATCTGAAAACATTGCTTGTTAAGGTTTGGTATTTGTGCACCTTGAACCTGTTTAAATGCTTTATACCAGTATTGTTTTCAGAGATGGTAACACTGCAACCTTGTGGCCTGTGCTACAAAACTGTAGCATCAGTGCTGTGCGCACAAAAGTGAATGTACAGCCCTATACAAACACAAACTATCCTCATGACTAGATTCTCTTGTTCTTGTTCTTATTGTTGTGTTTGATATGGGTTGTCCACTGTGTTTAAGGAAACACCTTCAGCACCTGGTTCATGGGCCAGAGCCTCATGCAGGACTCTCTCACAGCGCTCATACTGCTTCATCTTCATCAGCAGCTCTGCCAGGTCATAGCGCAGGAAGTTCTGTTGCTCAGTTTTCAAAGCAGCTTCGTAGTAGTTTATTGCCTGTGTAGCAGCAGCATTATTAGTGCCAGCAGTGGTTTGTCTGTGTGTGAATTGTGTTTATTGTTCGATGAGTGTACAAACAAACCTTGACGTAGTTATGAGTCTTGACCAGGGCTTTTCCAATCTTGCTGGCTAAAGCCCCATCTTTGGGGTTTTTCTTCAAAGCCTGCTCATAAACACTGATGGCTTTCTCTGGCTGAGGATGACACATGACGTTAAAGTAGTGTCAACATTTGTTTGGTTTTAGGTTTGTGTAAATATTATTCAGGCTGACAGTTATAATTTTCATGTCGTGAAGATTGGGTAAACACACGGAATGACGCTGCGTGCTTCAAGCCAAGAGCTGATGGGAAAGCTGCAGATACCTTATCTGAGTGTTGAGCTCAGAATTTACTCACAACCAGAGTATACGTCAGCATGACCAGTCTCCCCTTCCTACCTTCTGCTCTTGAAGCTGTTTATGTATAGCACAGTATCTCTACCCTTTGATCATGGCTTCATGGCTACGTGGCTAACTGTCCTCCTGTCCTTCAGTCTGGGTCAGTATATCTTTGAGTTTTGCTATTTTGGAAAAGGCATAATTGACTTAGCCAATATAAAACTGTGATTAGACAATTTAGACAGATTTTAGTTATTTGAAGCTTGTAGCACCTTTAAAACTGATCTCAGATGTCATGAGAAAATGTAAATATCTCCAACTTACTTCTTGAATGTTCATGTAGGCATCCCCTAGCAAGAGATATGTGTGAGGGCTGGGCATCTTCTCCACCATCTCTCTGGAGAAAAGAAAGATACCACATCATTTATGGTGGACTTCATCATGCAGACATACTGTACGTCTTATGCTGGTCTGAGGTTCAGCCATGTTTTATTAGCTGTCAATGCCAGTAGCACCAGAGACCAAGAGAAGATTGTTAATACTGTAAAAGCAAAGATTTAAAACACACAAGGTTTCAAATTGAATATGCATCTTTATGTTCTTTTAGATTCCAAATGTGCTGCTCACCTGTAACAGCTTGCGTACAGACGTTTCTCTTTTCTGTGGTTCAGATATATGTCTGCCATTTTCTCCTTGGCTTGGATGTAGTAGGGCTGCTCAGGGGTTATGTTTCTCAGCATACTCAGCGCCAGCTCGGTGTCACCGCGGAGGAGGGCCAGGTCCGCGTTGGCAATGGTGACACGTAACTCCTCAGGAGTCCCCGAGAACTCATTGATCGCATCTTGCATCACCTTTGCTGCTTCATGCTGAAATATTAAATCAGTTCATAAGGTTATACTGTACTTTTTTCAACATGGCCAGACACAAGTGTAATATCAAAGTATCATACCTGTTTCCCGTTGAGCCACAGGGCCTCAGCTAACTCCAAGAAGACAGAGACACAGTCAGCAGGGCTCAGCTCAATCTTCTTACTCTTGGACTTGGATGATGATCCCGCTCTGCGGACACCTGGAAGACCCATGGCCATCTGCAATGTCTGAATAGCCTCTGTCAGTTCCCCCATTTTCTTCTGACTCTGAGCCTTGATCAGGTGGTACAAAGGATGTTCTCGAATCTGGAATGAGACAGGAAGTCATGATACATTCGGATATGTGATCCTTGCAAACAATATCAACATACCAAACCTGACTACATATCCAAACATCTCTAAACTGTTGGCATTTACAAAAACGTGCTGTTATCTTGTAAATACTGACAATAACATCAAAGACCCCTTCTTTATTTACTGGTTGCTGTTTTATTCTTTGCTGTATTAATATGTCGAGCTGGGGACAAGCTGGCATGGTTGTAACTGTTATAGACAAAGGTATAAGAGCTGTAATTCTGTCTCATAAAGATTTAGCATCCAATGATACTGTCATCTTGATGGTGATCTTACCTCAAAGTTATGGCTGAGGCAGAGTTCAAGAGACTGGGAACACAACGTGAAGTTACCCTGCAGCAGATGGATCTGTGCCATTAGTAGATGAGAATCTGCATGAGATGGACACTGTTCCAAGCAGTGATGTAGACTGCTCTGGGCAGCGTCAGTGTCACCTGGATGAAAAGAAGCAGCGCAGTTTAAATTAGAAGCAACTTGAAAACTAACAAACAAGCAAGTATATATATTTGAAATGCATCGCTCACCAGACTGAAATCTGACTTTGGCGAGCAGGAAGACCCCTTGAAGGAGACCTGGCACAATCTTGACAACCGTATCCAACAATGTGGCACAGTGCTGGAGTTGAGGAGCAGGAGTTTGGCCCTGGGATAAAGGCTAAAACACAAAACAATAAAAGTGTTATTTATAAAAGAAGATAACGTATGCACATCCCTACCAAACTATCTCGAAATGAGTAAAATATAGAACACAATCTTTGGTGGAAAAATAAATGTCTGACTGAGGCTCTCTCACACAGCCCAAATTGAACCCATCCTTACCTTAGCAGGACAAAGTGCCAGATACTCTTTGACAATCTCCAAAAGAAAGTCGGGGTTGACCTTCTCCAAGTACTCCGTTCCCAGAGGCAGGCCCTGCAGTGTGGAGAAGTGTGTGTCCACTGCATCGTTCAGCAGGTTGGTAATCTCTTCCTGTGGTCGGTGCTTCTTCGCCGCCAGTAAAGCACGCAGGTACAGTAGCTCCTAACAGAGTGGGGGGATAATGATGAGAAGGAGAAAAGCAAAAACTATTAGATTAAAGTAATGTGGTCAGCAGGAGGACAAGGGCAAAACAAAAATCTAAATATTGAATTACCACTGCTGCTTCTTGCCAGATTCTCTTGTTTTGTCTTTATTTACGTAAATCTAATAATTCTAAACCATGTTAGTCCTTTGCAGAGGATTCTAATAATAGAGCAAAAAGACTTTTCATGTCCTTGTCTATCAGCATTTACAAACAGACAATACCCCTGATTTTCCAATAGATTGTTGAATCTCTGTGAGAAATTCCAACTGTTGTTCTGCATCCTCGAGGTGGCCTTCTATCAGCTGGCAACGAATTATGCCTAGGTAACAGAAATGAAAAAATATTTAATGTTCAAATTAAATCATATGCAAGGAATCTAAGTGTTGTGTAGACAAACGATTAATTATTGTAACATGTTACCGGTCAAAGCAGAAACGCTGGTCTCATCCAAGGTCATGGCGGTCTTGTACCACTTCATGGCCTCCTTGATTCTGCCCTGAAGGACCATCTGGTAGCCCAACTCCGTGGCTAAATCGGAGTCCCTTGATGCCACAGAGAAGGCTCTCTCCACCATCCTGAACGTCTGCTCAATCACTTTCTCATTCCGTCCACACTACAACAAGAAGAGTCCTAAATCCAAAGATTCTATGCAAGAGAAGAAATTCTTTAAATGGAGCATTAAGAATTTTGAGAGCATATAGAAAATCATCTTACAACACGAGTGAAGGCGAGAGACATTCTGTAGAAAAGCTCAGGGTTGTGCGGTTCCAGAAAATCCAAGTTGCTGTTGAGATTTGAAAGCTGCTTCACTGACTGTCAAGAGACAAATAAAACAGTTGCAGTAAATTGATCATCATTTTCACTTTGCTACAGCTCAAACATCAGTCACACTTTTTTTTATTCTATGTTGGTTCCTGCTGATTGCAGAAGTTAAAAGTATGAAATTGTGTGAACTTTACCTCAGTAACATCTCCATCTCTGCATAAAGAATGTAGAGCTAACATCCGAACTGCCTCCAGGTTATTTTTATCCTTCTGTAAAAGCCTGAAACATGACACACAGTGCAGTGAATGCAGTCCATCTTCTACATTTAATAAGCTGGGATAGCTTTGATTGATAGTAATAGAACATACGATACTGCTGCACTGCTGTATTGAGCTTCCAGTCGAATAAAATGAAAACTCAAAGTAATTGTGAGGGCTGCCAAAGATTGTACAGTCTCCTGTGTGCTGCTTGCTACAATTCCCTGAAACTGCGTTTGACTCCTGCATTTTGGCCTCTTATGGTGGTTGACGCTTGCTAAGGTCAGAAGGGGTGAACACAAACAATGGCTTAGTCAGTATGCACTGGTTTGAAGCATCATGCTTGTGTTTTATTTGCACTTGAATATTGAGCCATTTGTAGAGGCAGATTGCTATTTACATGCCTGGTGGTGATTGTAACCACTTCTTAAAAATGAAAGTTCAGATAAGCTTCTGCTGAGAGAGATGTGACCTCTGTGTAAAATTTGTTAACAATTACCTGTGTGCTGCCTCCATGGTTTGCTCCCAGTCTTGCAGGCTGAGCGACAGTTTCATCTTCTTGATAAGAGCAGGCACAAACTCAGGGAAACTCACGATGACCTGGTTTACCATCTCCAGTGCTCCGGAGTAGTTCTGGCGATATTCATAGTATTGTGCCTAGAACAAACCAAAGCATTACTTAGGGTGTATCATATGCACAAGCTAAATAGAACCAGGAATATAAGTCTGACCCTTTAACATAAAAAGACAAACCAAGAGAGCAAAGCTGGAATAAATCAAGGCAATTATAGACACAATACAGTAAGAGGATATGGAGAATAGGAGAAATGTTATGTACCATAACATTTTCAGCTGTGTTAAAGAAGGCCTTTACAATTTGAATTTGTCGTTCTGATCTCACCTTTCCCATCAGGGCAAAGACGTCTGCTTTCTCCTTCAGTCCCTCATCAAAGTATTTTCCAGCCTTCCTGGCGTAGGCGTCTTTACCAGATGTCACATCTATCCAGGCCTTTAGGATTGTCCCCTGAACAAGAAATATCAACGTGAACTTGCCATTTCATACACTTAAATGCTTTGCATAAAAATGGACAACAATAATATTGATTTATTTAACACATGACATGCATATCTCACCTCTCTAGAGCCATTGGAGAGTTTGATCATCCTCTCTGTGTACTCCCTTGCCTTTTCATTCCGCCCCAACAGCCAAAGAAACAGCCCAGCATAGTAAAGACTCTTGGGAGATGCACTTTTACGATCCTCTTTGACCTTAGCATCAAGTTCTTGAATGACTTCTCTGTCTGTGAATACAGTGACACTTACAATACTATCAACAAGTTTGTCTAGTGCTGAGTGTTCAAAGTTAGACAGCCATGCTATGAATCAAAAGACGACTACTGGATTACCTGAGTGTGTCTTCTTTTTCTCAGCATAGACAAGAGCCATCAATGTGCAGAGAGATACATCCCTACTATCTCTCAATGTGTCCAACTCCACACAGGCTTCTTGAATCTGATCTGTATTGAGACAACGACATAGGTGCATGTGCGGCACACGACAAAGACACAATAGTCTGATCAGAAAAGGCTGATGTACAATGGAGTATTAGGGTCATACTGAAGAAAACAAAGCATTTTGAGAGTTCGAGAATAATCCCTTAATATTATGAGAATAAACTAGTATTGTGATGAGAAAAAGGTCAGAATATTGAGAGAATATGAAATTGTAGGAATTGAAATTTGATAAGAAAAAAGTAATCATATTAAACAAATAAAGTAATAATTTAAGCAGAAAAAGGTCATAATATTACTGGAATAAAATCGTAATCTAACGAGGAAAAAGTCATAATATTAGGATAATAAAGATAAAAAAAACATTTTGAACTTTGTTCTCGTTATATTTCTACTTCATCCTGAATATATTATGATTTTTTTCCTAGTTAAATTATTGCTTTATTGGTGTAATAATTAAAGCAGAAAAAAAATCATAATATAACGATAATAAAGAGAAACAAACATTTTGAACTTTATGCTCCAGTATGTTTATATTATACTTTATCGCTCCAATACTATTATTTGTGTTGAGTTTTGAATCCTACCTTGCATCAGGGACCCATAAGCATGGAAGAAACTGCAGACGTGATCACTGCCAAACTTCCTCTGAGCAGCTGCTGCTGCGTTTACAGCGTGGTTGAAGTATTTCTCGTAGCAGTAGTACTTGATCAAAGCCTGTGTGGAGACAGAGAGGAGGTCAGGAGCACAGGAAGAACAAGATGGGTTTGTTTATTACCAAGAAATCCCTGACACTAGCTGCAGCCAGGGTCGTTTCCACAACAGGACCAAATAACGTCGTGCAAACCAAAGGAGTCCTGCGTTTGGCTTCTGCTCATGTTAGCTAGCTCATCCTTAACGTTAGCCGATGTCTGTCCTCGTCGTTCGCTGCTGTTTCTCATTTTAAAAGGACAATTTATTCTCTCACACATCGCCAACCACTTCTTGATTACTTTCCCACAGCACAGGCTAAACCCTCACAGCACCGTACCATCAAAACATAGGCGCTTACCAGCGTTGTTTCTTCATCCTCCATCTTGGCTGAGAAGCTTTGTGCTCTTAAACAATAACCAACCTGAAACCAACTATCACTTGACCCCGTGTGTGTTTAGTTTTAGCGTTAAAAGCGACGTTAGTGCGGGTTTCTTGGTTCTCACGCCATCTTGCACCAACTCCTTTAGCGTTGCCTGGTAACTTGGTAACGAGGACGTGTCGTGAAGGTTATTTTCCCCCGAGTGTTTCCTTCCAGGCACAACCTGAGCGCCGCCTGCTCGTGTACAAGCGTTATTCGGAGTTGTTGGAAAGAGTTAAACCATAAAAATGACAGATAATGTTTGTGAAATGTGTAAGATTTAATTGTTTGGATTTGTTGGACGAAGGGTGGTGAAGTGTCCTGGGGCTGTCAGCTTGGCTTGAAGCCTGACAGACTCAATTTAGGGATAATCATAATAGAGTGTCGCCATCTTTGAAATCGAATCGAGCTAGTTTCACCTTCTACCTCCTAGGTGGCGCTGTTACACCTTTATCAGAATCAGAAGTCCTTTATTATACAGTAAAATGTTTCTATAATTATTAGTCCTATGATATTATTAGCAATAATAATAAATAATGGAAATAATAATATTAGTAGAACAACAAGAACAACATTATTATTATTATTATTATTATTATTATTATTATTATTATTATTATATCCCCAACGTCTGATTATTATTATTATCATTATGCAGTATTTAGCTGAAACTGCTATATGGTCAAATCTGGGAATATTTATTAAAACGTGACAAATGTAAATTAACTGCTGGCACATGGTAATAAACTATTAAAATGTGCCATGACTTCATGAGGCAGCATGTTGTTATTTTAAGGGGATTTCATGCAACAGAAATAAATGGTGCATGTGACAATAAGTTTAACCTACTTTGAATATATGGAAATAGTTTAAGAGAGCTTGTTGGCTTGGATTACACTCACGTTGCATTCATGTGGTCAGTAGGCTTGGTGTTGGGGTGGCCCTCTGTTTGCCAGACCTATACATAATATCTAATTTCTGTTATTTTGTATTTGTTCATGTTAAACAAGAAAGTTGGTGCAAGCTGACACCTTTTGACCCAGCTTTGCATCGTTAGTCATGTGCAGTGGAAATATAATTTCCATCTGGCCGGTGTTAAATTGTGGCCCAATGTTATGCAACACGATTGCATTGAGCTCCTGATGTCTGCAGTGTTGAGTCCATGGCAGGAGAGCCAGTGTCCAGCATGGCTGCAACTGTACCAGGAGAGACCTTTCCATGCCTTGTCAGATACTATTTAGCACTAACTCTGGCACATAATCATTACTCTCTGCAGCACACGTCAATGGAAGAGCAAATCAGGTTGGTATTGAGCTCTGAGAGTGTGCAGCAATGGTAAATGTCTGTATGCCGTACTTCACTATTTATCTCACAATTTATTTTACCATAATAAGTATGCATGACTCATAATATTGACTGATTTGTCTTTATTAGTTTATTAATCTATATTAATATAAAAAAAACTAAATAAAAACTAAAATAAATTAAAATACTCATACATTGTAGTTGCACAGGAGATAATCAAGGTGTACTTAGCAAAGAGCAATGAATACTGCTTATGTTGTTGCACTTCCAAAGAATGCATCTGAAAACCTATTAGGGAAAATACTGTGGAACATCTACCCCCTGGGATATACTGCTATAGCATTCTAATGGCCGTATCCATTGTGGTTTGTACAGACCATTATTGATCAAAGTGCCATGTCCAATAATACAAGCAGTTCACTTCAATGAACTTGTTTATTTCCTTTTTTAAGTATATTTTAATAAATACATGTACTAATTTGAATATAAAATGTACTGTATTAATGTTTCGCATTTTCACACAGTAATGACATGTTTGTGAAATCTTTCGATTGAGAGGGTGTTGTCTGTAAACTGAATTAGTAGTGATTGTGTGAGCTGCTGTGAGTTTCCGGGGGGTGGTCCATTTGAAACAGTGTGTGTGTGTTATAAAATGTGAGTGGTTGCCATGTCTGTCCGTCAGTCTGTGTGTTTGTCTATTAGCACACCACCTAATCTAATGGGATTTTTCTCCCCATCTATCTACAGCAAATATTACCGAGCTGTAATGGGGGAGCATTCTCAGATTTCTTCCTGAATTGTTTCCATCATGCTGCTCATGCCAGTAGCGAGATCCCGAGCCAAGTGGACATCTGTCCACATATTACATGTCCACACGTTACTGCCTAACTTGCAAGATGCCTGGGCTGGAGACGGCAGACCAACCTAATACAGTCAAAAGGGCTTGATGTCCTGTTGCTGAGCAACCGGCGAGGAGAATCTGCAGAATCACTCTTGATTTAAAGGCCATTAAAACTAGCAGTCTGTAACCCCACCTGATGCCATGAGGGGGCCTGTGATCTGGTTTCAGTATCATTTGAAAAATGAAATTGTAGAAATAAAATAAACATTTTCTTTAACAGAATAAGAATCTTTTAACCTTTTAATATAAACATCATCCAATTTGTCTCCATCACAGTGACCCAAGTTTTGAGAGCACGCTGGTCAACATTCAGTGGATGTGGCACAAATTGATAATCGCATCATCTTTGTGAGACAGGATGGTAGAAATAATCAGCACTTTGCCATCAGCCTTCTGTTTACTGCCCTCAGGATTCAGCCAGTCACAAAAGGTAAAAGCAACTCTGGACTGTGATGAATATTTGGACTGTTGTTAATAATTAATACAAATTTTCCACCCACTTAAGATGCTAATAGTTTCCGGCAGAAGCCACAAAACGCACTCATGAGCCAGATACCAGCTTCTTGCACAGATGTTTTATACTGCACACTAACAAATATAATACATGTTCACACATTTCCAGCTCTGAATCTCCCTTCTTAGAGACTGAAGCATATTCAAGAATTTGTTTTGAATAGTGTTTTGTCATGTCACTCAAGATTATTTGCTTAAAGTCATACATTCTTAAGTGCTTACAATATCCCCAGAGACTCAAGAGATCAATACAAGTTGAACCATTAACAGTTTGAGTGCTCGTTACATTTTGCACATGAAATAGGCATTGATAGCTTCAACATTTTACAGATTCTGAAATGACACTAATGCGGATCGTGGTAAGGTAGCGATCAGCAGTGTAGCAGTCATCAAGCTAATAACTGTAAAAGCTGATGAGTAATTCCTTTGAATCAGCAACGTAGTTAGATCTTTTGAATTCCTCTAAATGAAATCTGACCGTTATCATTACAGTTACTCTTCACCTTCATTCAACTATGATTAATTTTGCCTGATGTCAATGAAATTAGTTTATCAAGCACTAAAGCTGCATTAAGACTGTGTGACCTTCCGTACCGGATCTTTGTTTGATAAACGATTATAACAAATTAACATTATAATAAATAATAATAAAAACTCTAATGTTAGAAAATACACATTTGTTAATTTTAGATGAAAAACAAATACATGTGTGCTCTGACTTTTCTAATGAAACTATAATAGTACTGAGTAGAGGGTAAACATCCTCCAACAGTTTCCTGTTTTACTAACCTATGAATATCAGCCCAATAAACATGCCTGATAAAAAATATCAAGCTCCATGTATGCTTTTCTGCAAGAAATTAAGGGAAATGTTTGAAAAAGCCTTTGTCTCACAATGTTGGAGGAAGAGGAAAACAAACGTGGAGGAAAACATAACCTTCTTGAGGGAGGTAGTAACGTTGAACTGAAAATGTGATTTTCGAAAAAAAGGAATTCCAAGTGAGAAAAAGTTGATCTCAGTTGGAACTAGTTTTCATTTGTGTACATCGTACACATGCAGGCAGTTCTCGACATTAAATTGTGAACAAGCGACAAGTGTAGTTTCATGTGCTTCAACTGTCAACTGCCGTTAAACCATGTGAATCACTGTACGTTCAAAGTTTCAGACTATAGGCTATAGGTAAAGCTACATAGGCAGAATCATGCTCACATAGAATACATACAAAAAGACTGAATATGACAACATAAATTCATTATAGTATTAGGTCTAACTTTTCATCTTGGGTGCAAGTCTCACGTGCTACTTTAAGATTTTAGTGCTGCTAGAATCAGCCTCAATGTGTCTAGTGACCTTTGACCTTGGTCATTAGAAGTTCTGACCAGGAAAAAAAGTAAAAAAAATAAAAATAAAACATTAATTTACACTAGGATCTCTGCACTGGCCTCCTGTGAATGAAAGTTTGTACACACCACAGTACATTAGGTCTGAAATACACATTTAGAGTTTCAGACACTTTGCATTGGAAAACAAGGCGCAAACTGTGCACATGTACAACAAAAATTAAGCACATGACTGGCAGATAAACACAGGCCATGAACAATGTACACAATTATGAATTAACTCAGGGTCATTGAAAGAATGGAAAACACACAAAAAAATAAAACTAGTGAGTAAAACCCGGGATTTAACCAGTGGAAAGTAAAGCTCACTATATGTTTCCTTTCATCCACCTCTCACCACACTCTCAAGTTTAAAGATAAGGAATATTGATTAAAACAGGACTTTATAACATAAATGAACATTTTACACATACTTGAGGTACATGTAATCTTTATTCTTTTCATTGAAATGGGTTATAACAATGTCTCACATGCAATTTATCTAAACACTACAAGCATTATGCATTTGAATGATGGGAGGTGTTTAACTCTATGTAATCAAAACATTCTTTCATTATGCACAAAGTACAGTGTAAGTATTGAAAGTTTTAATTACATCATGCAAAATATACTCACATGAATGGAATTACACTTTTATAACATGAAATGACAGATGCAGCCATGATAGATGGTGACGGGAAGAAGTGACAGAAGCAACACAACTGAACGCTCCTATGAAATGTAAACAGAAGTAGGAAACCACCAAGGGCACGAGAGATGTGTGATGCCGTGTCCTTGAGACGATTACAGAATATTCTGAGTCGTATTTCGTCCTATTTAGATATTTATCATGATAAAAATCGAG